ACGCGAGAAATCGTCGGAATTCTTGCCAAACGGAATCTTCTGAATCGCATTTTCCACGCGAATCGTCTCGCGCACAATGTTTTAATCCAACCGTTATTACAGGAGCAACGGTACGTTTAAGTGATATTTTTAAAGAGCCGATTAAAGACGTTAAATGAAACGCGTTAATGCGTGAAATTTATCCATTCTATAGGATGGATAGGTAATATACAAGTACTGCAACAGGTGTACATAGACTTTTTTTTTGTGAATATGTGTTTTTCTTTAAAATTCACGCCGATTTTTCAAACATATCGGTTACCTAGATTAGATTTCGAAACGAGTAACTTTTTTTATTTTGTGTGTTTATTTTTTAAAATAAAAAATTTATTCTAGTAAAATTATTTATTTAAGAAGATTACCTTAACCTTCTTCGAGAAGTAAAACGTTTTTAATTATATTTAATGCACAATTATTTATCAAAGAATTGATGTTTATAAATTTCAAAGTTTCGTTCGAAAACTGAAAATTTTTCACGAATGTTCAATCGATTTATATACAACTTTCGTTATATTACTTAGAAAAATTACTTCGAAAAAATTCTCAATCGACAATGCATCGATCTATATCGACCTATACACATCTAAGTTATTATTTAAAAAAATTTCTCCATCCTTTTTTATGTATCCTTTTTTATGTATAAATATCGAACGATTATTAATGTCATTAAATCCATCAAAACGATTATTTTAAAAAATTAAAAAATTCCCATTAACTAATCAACTGATCCATGTCGAACGTGTAAATTAATATTAAATGCGCAACATCGATCTTTCTACACTGAACATTAAAAATCCTTTTGAATTTTTTAAAAAATTTATTTGATGAAAATTTTACGAGACGATCTAGAAAAATAAATTTAAAAAAAAAAGAGAGGAAAAAAATAAGAAAAGCTAAGTGGCTTGCGCGATTATGCGATCTCTATGGAGAAGGAATGGCAAAACGGAGAGAGAGAGAAAGAGAGAGAGAGAGAGAGAAAGAGAGAAGGTAGCGAGTGGCGTGGTGAGTGGCGAAGCCCGCAATCTCATACTCGCGATCAGGCTGTCGACTCGACGACAACCCTTCCTCGTGCCCAGTGCTTCACCCTCCGTCACGAATCGCAGTTTGGATCCTGCATTCAAACGGTAAACTTGTTCCACAGGATAAAAAAAGAATCGCTACGACCACTTCCGGGATGAATCGAAGGATCGCGTCGCTAATCGTCAGCCTTGCCCTCGTGTTGACGGTTCGTTCAGGTATGCATCCTTGTTCCCTTTATTAATTGGAAATTAATTTATTACGAATTATAACGTGGAATCTGTGTCGATTCAATTTCTGTTCGATGTGAGATATATTTATATTGTGTATAATGTTCTAATAATTGTAGAAACACGTAGAAGTTTTGAATTTAATTGGATTAAAAATTATTAATTTGAGGAGTTGTTATTATTATTATTATTATTATTATTATTAAGGAAATATTTATTTTTGTGGCGTAATATACGTATGATTTAAATTAAAAAAATTATTTAACGATATTTATCGTCTTATATAAATATAATTACGTTATATTATTTAATTTCGATGCACGATGATCAATAGTCTTCTTTTTTAAATTTTTAATATTTTTGTTGTAATGCTTGTTTGAATTTATTTCGATTCTACAGCATTCTCATTATCAACGAAACATTTATCTTTATATCATAATAATATTTAATAAAATTTAACTTATTTCAAAAAATATATTCGTTTTTATTATCATTTTATTCGATATAATCAAAGTCTCAATATATAAGCAATGTATACGCGTATTAAACGCGTACTATTAATTTTAACTTCAATTCGTTAACTTTTAATCCATTTTTTTAAACGAGAATATCGTGATTATCGATTTCTTTTTTTTTTCTTTCTTTTTTTTACAAGAATAAAACGTAAATAGTCACGAATTATTTTTTATGCAAAAAATAACTCGAAAACTGTAAAAGGGTTGTAGGTTAATCGTGGTTTATCGAACTACGAGTTGCAATTTACGACGGGAGAGGGGGGGTAAGTAACGTCGCGATTCTTGGCGCCACGATACTCCGCGACCCAAATAATAACTACACACGGACATGCGTGTGCTTGGAAGAGAGAGAGAGAGAGAGAGAGAGAGAGAGAGAGAGAGAGAGAGAGAGAGAG